CATTTTGTTGGCATATAGTTTTTCATAGTATTTTCTTACAATCCATTGTATCTATGTGGTGTCAGTTGTTATTTTTCTTTCATTTTTAATTTTATTTATTGAGGTCCTGTCTCTTTTTTTACTTGATGAGTCTGGTTAAAGGTTTGTCAATTTTGTTTATCTTTTCAAAGAACCAGCTCTTGTTTTCGTTGGATGTATCCTAGGTCTACAATGTTACTAAAATGAACTCAACATACTTAATTCTGGGAGGTAAATTCCTAAAAACTAAATTTCGTGGTATGAGCAAAGATCTAAAGCAAATCCCAACTGCGTGAAATGAAAACACATTAAACATAAAGGGATCTATCATCATTTTGATCTAAACCACAGGGAGATGTTAGAAAGTTAAAGCTTGCAAAGTGTAATCAGATAGCAGAGCCTTTAAAAATTGGAAGAGGGATGTAAAATATCAAGATAAGGAAGAGCTTAAAAGCAGATATCTGATGCCTGGACATCTGTCCAACTTGGGACAGTGTAGAAGGTAAACATCTAAAGATTTAAAGGGCAAATATAGTACATCTGTTGTTGTTTTTCCATTTTGTAGCATTATTTTTATTTTATACCCTGATGATCTTGAATGTTTTTCAGTGTGTGCCAAAGACATGGCATCCTGCCCATTTCTTTGATATTCCAGAACAAATTCCTGCTGATGGGGTTTCTGTCATTTATCATGGAAGACTATAAACACACACATTACCAATAAATAGAAATTTAAATTCCCAAAGGACATAGTTGAGAGAACCCTTGAATATATTATTGAAGGCTCTCATGTGCAACTATACATTTCAAACGGCCCACATTAGTTTTCTGATTAACATGGAATTGTGACTTGGGATTTCTTGTTATTAAAGTTTTCTTATTTAGTGTTAGACCTGCCTTCTCTTTCCAACCCTTGGATGGTCAGATCTGTTTCCGTTACCACGAAAACCTTCTGAAAACCATCTAGTGAAAGAAGTATGAGAGCTAAGATAAGAAAGAGTGTGGGGCCTGGGATATGCAGACTCCCAAGGGAAGAGCAGTTTTATCATCTCTCTTTCCTTTTCATGGTTGCTGCCAGTTCTCCCTATTTCTATCCTGTTTTGCCTATAAAACTCCGGCCTTCCTTCACTTAATTAATTTGTGGCTTCAGTACAGTGAGATATAGTTCAGTGCAAACTGTGGAAAGTAATGGTATTTACTTTGAGCTTGTAAACCCAGGTTGAAGATCTTTTTCTGCCATTTGTTAGGGCGTGACCTTAGGCACGTCACTTAGCCAGTCCAGCTTTGGTTTTCTTATCCATAAGCTGAATATTTATATTTCATGCATTATCTGCCTCATGGGATTATTGACAATTAAATGAGAAAATGTATGTGAAAGCATATTGTAGGGCTAATATAATTATGATGATGATGATTGTTATTATTTGAAAACTCAGTAGGTGGGCCAGGTCTTCCCACCTAGGAAAATATAGGATTCCTATTTAAAATCTTACTGAACAGAAATTGCTTATTTGAATTTTTATAATGAAGTACAAATGCAAGATAGATGGAATTTCTGAAGAAGCTCCTGGCTACTGAATAAATCTTACGTATTTTAAAAAACTGTCACAATGTAAATATTTTCAAAGAGGTATATAATGGTTCCTGAAAATACCTGAAATGCCCATGCTTTCATAGATGTGTAAGTATGCAATTTGTTTTAAATGTCTAATCTTGAATGATTAAGTAATTTGCATACTGTTTTCAGTGGCATGAATTAAAGGCTAATTGAAATGTAATTTTTTTGCAGTGAAATTATTTAACCTTTTATGTAGTACATTTAAAAATATTGAAGGCCAGTTCTAATTTTATAGTTTTATTATTTTATTTAATGTACCAAGTAATTAAAAATTGCTACAAAGAAAAGAAGATGAAAATGATTTCAGTAAATTTTCTTTCAACAGAGTGAAAAGATGATTAGTAGAATAATGGAAGAGAGCTTAACACAGTACCTGGCACATAAAGATATTCATTAATTGCTCCCTAACAAATTGTAATGAATAATTAATGAGTATTTCTAGACTTGGGTAAAGGTGCCATTCTCAGTGCTATATAAAATGAAGAAGATTGCTTGACATTGTTATACTGAAACACTTCTATACAGAAGTCACACAAGCCAATTTTTCTTGAGCCATTAGAGCCTCAGTTTGCTATGCTTGTCTTTTCGCTTTACTCTTTTTGTACAAATATGTTTTTATTGATTTCTTAGAGAGAGAGGAAGGGAGAGGGATAAAGAGATAGAAACATCAATGACAGAGAAATATCATCAATCAGCT